CCCCCCCCCCCCCCCCCCCCCCCCCCCCGTCGACAACTTTTTAGGGAAAACGAGCCGGACGAGTACGTTGCAAATGCTTTCCAGTGACTTTACCTCAATTTTTCATACCAAAATTCGGAAATTTACCCAAAAAACCCAAACATCTTGCCCTTTGCGCGGAAATATTTAACCCAAGTAGCAGTCCTACCGACTGAATAGCAGTCCTGCCGACTGAATAAAATTTCTGGGTGGTGTCACCCCCCCCCCCGTATCTCCGGCTCTGTATACAGCCAATTCAAAAAAGATTATCCTTTGCATCTAAAGCTTAAACCTAAACTCTAAGCGCGCAAAGCCTAATGGGAGCACAAGTTTCAAGTTTTGTAGTTGAATATCGCAGCTATTTGTGAATGATTAATTGTTCTCGTAAGAAGATATTTACCATGTCTTTCGTATTTTAGATATGCATTAGCCCACGGTGTAGACCCTAGCAGAAACACCTTTCGTGTGGGTCTACACCGCAGGCTAGATGTGCGTTCAGTCAAAACATAAGCTAGGGGAAAGTTACAACTGATAGGGGGGGACATTGGGATTTACGGTATGGCGGTATTAGCTTATTTTTCTTACGGTATTTTGGTATTTTCCTTAAAAAATTGCGGTATTACAATATTGGAAATCTTGCGGTACACGGTATTTGCAATTTTAGACTCAAAAACTGCGGCTATTGACAAAATTTGCTTGCTGTATTACGGTATTGAATACCCCCAATGCCCCCATCCTGATACAAATTTGGTGAAATCTGAAAAAGATTAAAACACTTGACGTTCTGAGCGAAACATCTTCGCGTGATGATGACAGTTGACAGTGGCTACTTTTATAGCCAGTTCAGACACAAACCACAGCACTGACAGCAGCTTCATTTTTTGTACAATAGACAATTCCCATTATAGAGTAATTTTAAAACTAGGCAAGGAGATGCAAATAAATCACCACATCTAGAAAGAGCATACTAAAATGAGTAACATTGTAAAGTTTGGTTGCGAAATGTTGTAAAATGCGGAAAATATAGCCATGCA